TTTGTTGGAGTTTTTTTCTGCACGTACAGATAATTTAGTCCCTTTGTTTCTGGTAGCAGTTTTAAAGAATTGCTGTGGAATCCAGTCTATCCACCATGAGAGGAAGACTACTAATATTTCACTTCAAAGGGTTTGGCTTCATGTGTGCCAGATGCTGATTTTCATAGGTGGCATTTTTGTCAGTTCTCCATTTTTACCTTCACTCTGATTTCTCTCAAAAATTACAGTAATGACCCTGACATTAAGATAGGGTTAAGATGTCACTGGCAATGTCCAGTCAGAATTTATCACTGTGGAATTGCATAGTTTCTCCCATAGTTGTGCTTTCTGAATTAAAGTGATATGATAATCACATATCTTTGGAATGATTGCCATCCCAAAGAGGCTCTGAAGTAGTTTGTCTTTAGCCTAACTTCTCCTAACTGCTGTGCAAATTTGGAGTTGGTAGCTGTGACTTAGACCTGAACATTCATCAGAGTTGCATCATTCTTTGATTCTGTCCATGAGATCCTGTTAGTTCACCTGACTAAAATGCTGAGTACAGTTGAAAACCAGAGTGAAACTGTCTTTGCTTTGAGAAGGAAGATGATTTGTTAAAGACCATAGTGCTTTGCTGGAATGAGGCTTGGAGAAATGTGGAATAACAAGGCACCTGAGTGAGGGTAAAAGTTTAAACAGTCACTTTTCCACCTGAGTGCAGCTCTGTTTTGGTGCTCTCTTTTTCTCTCCTTATTCTCAGATGCAGGATGGATGGAGGTGAGGGAAAAATGTTTTGGCTGCCTGAAGCTTACAGTTCTACACTCATTCAATACACACAGCACAGCAACCAGTTTGCCTCATTTCTGGGATATTTTGGTGATTTCTAAGGAGCATTTTGAATTATTACCCTCTTTACTCTGGAATGAAGAAAAAAAATCTGAAAAAAAAAGACTTAATTCTTCAGGGTTGAGTCTTAATACCTTTAAACTGGTGTTCATTCTCTCCCTCTCTGCCTCCCCCACTTCAATTATGAGCAATTGGGTGGTAGTAATTAACAATCGTAGAGAGAAACATCTGCTAGTACACTTAAGCCAGTCAGTTTGTTTTTCATGAAAGAATGGTATTTCACAATTTTTCCAAGTTAATATTTTTCCTTTATTGTCTTTCCAATTGCAAATATTGTCCAGACGCATTTTTATAGTGTCTTAAGGTTATAGAAGTGAATACAAGACCATTAATAATGAACAAGAAAAGAACATCATAAAGAAAACATGCAGTATTTCAATTCATGAAACATTCTGTTAGGGAACATTGTTTTTGAGAGCATATGGTTATTCCCATGAGAAGCAATATATATAATTTTTTTTTTCCCCTCCAGTTGTGGATTCCCACAACAAGGGTAGGTTTCACTGTGTGTTTGTCTGTGTAGCACGTTCTCTTTGTCAGGACTTGTTATCTGAGCAGGGAGGTGAGTAAGTATTTTTGCACAGATGATATATTGTACGTGAACCTATTTCTGATGGCCTAGACTTTGGAAACACAAGTCTATTAATTCTCCACACTCCTTTGAGATAGCTATCTTGTCTGGTCTAGTTTAATATCATTGGCAGAGCTGAAAGGAAGTTCACATTGTGAATATATCCGAACCTTGGCATGCAACTCACTGTGGATCTCTGTTTACAGGCTGCCAGTTTTAACTGTCCCAAGCAGACATTCTCATTTTATTTATAAGTAGGTTCAGCATGTGTTTGTATCCTTCATGAAACTGAGCTCATGTCAATAGTCAAAACTAAGTATAGAAGCAAGATACCAAACATTTAGCCTTCTCTTCTCAGACAAAACAGTATGTATTTTTAAATGTTCATTGGGTTTGGATGAGGCACATGAGGATATATGCACAGACACATTATTTGATCACTTGTAAATACTATTTTAATATCCCCATGTTCCCCTTTAAAGTTTCCTCATTTAGGTTTCTTTTTTTTGCTCAATGAAATTTGACATCGGGATGAGATCACCAGATTTCCCCATTTCATTTGAGCTCCAAAATGAGTAACTGATTTCAAAGGATAATTCCCCAGAGCAGCAAGGCCAATGAGTTCTTCAGATCAAAGGTCAGCAAAGCTCAAAGAGGATAATTTCTGGCATACAGTATTTAAACTCTCTCAAGGAGTGTACTGCAAGATGTATCCCCTCCTTCCCCAATAGTTGAACCCTTGTTTTTTGAGAAGACTAATTTGTCAGTGCACATTTTTTGCTCTGTTCCATAAATTATACATTAAAGTGAAAGTTTCCTATCTGAACACACAAACTGTACATCCAGCAAGGTTATTAAACGTGCCAGCAGAGGGACTGTTCCTGAACCCAAAGGTAACTGTTGTACTCCTCTCTGAATCACCCACTGGACTGGGAAGCTCTGGTGCTCTTGGCACATGCCAGTGGCTTTCAGCACAGTGCAGGAGTGTAGTGGTAGAAAGGAGGGAATGCTCTGTAAGACAGTTTTGACAGAGAAAAACTCAACAAAGAGCATTGGGGCAGGCAATAGTCACCTTGTGCAGGATCTGCTCCTCAGTGCTCTCAGCCTACTGTTGTTTGCCATGCTGCCATCATTTGGGATGCTGTCACTTGACAGGGCAAAGACCACTGTAGAAATCTTTTGCCCATTATGTACCTTTATATATTTAAAAGAATGTGTGATAATAGGAGTGGATTTTAAAATTTTTTTTCAATTTATATATTTAAAAGAATGTGTGATAACAGGAGTGGATTTTTTAAATTTTTTTTTCAGTTGGCTGTCCACTGTTTCAACAAAGCCTAGGAGTCATCCCAGCCCAGCTTTCATTTATTTCACATTCCCTAGAGCAAGACTGTGAGGGACTGCAAAAGCCTCTCTTAAAAATGTTTCTATCAGCTCATAACTGTGTGAGTTACCAATCACTGGTAGAAATGAGCCATTGAAAATCTGGGGGCATGTTACACTGTCAGTGTAACTGCCCTTGTTACCTTTTTATTTCTTGTTGATTTTAGAAGGAAACAACAAAGCTGGACCAAGGTAGACAAACAAATATTGTCTTTTATTTATAGGGGTCTTTTTGTGGCCTTAGCTTTGAACTTGCAGGAATATGGAGTTGTATTTATGGACAAAGTGAATACCAAAAAAATAGCACTTCTTCAGATATGCTTCAAAGTTCTGTATTGTAAATAATATTTATTTTCATGTGTGCCTGAACTATGATAAACACTACACAAAAGCCTCCTAAGAAACAGCATCTGCTCATCCAATTCCAGGTTTAAAGGATCAAGTTAGCTTTCTCTTCCTTTGTCTGACCTTCCTACTTTGCTTATGTTTGGTGCAGGGAATCCTAACATGACTTGGAGTAGAACTCAAAGTGTATCAGCATGTCAGCATGTATATAATAAATACCATGTCTGCTTGCATTTGTACAATGCAAATTGCATGTTTGTGTTGGGAAGCTGGTGTTATACTAACATCAAAACTGCAAATCAGTATCAAAGTCGGGAAATTCCAAAGGTTAGGATTTCTACCTCATTCCCCCTTTCTTTACTGCACAGCCAGAATCTTATGTAGTATACCACAGTTTTGAAAACAAACAAACAAAAGTAATACAATAATGTTAAATTTAAACAAAGAAACGAGACTGGAAAATGTGCTATGTAAGGCAGTGTGGGAATGTGAATGTTGTGGCAGAAATCTTGGCTTTTGGAATCACTGAGAGTATAAAGCTATGGCAAAGGGAGTTGGTTTTGTGGGTTTTTTTTAAGCTAATTGTTCTATTTTAAACATGAAAGAAAGTGCTGAAGAATGGCTTAGAGAGTATTTTAGTTTCTAGCATGTTAGTGACTTGCTTTTCTAGAAAAGTGCTTGGGAGGCAGCTCAGCCGTGTAGAACACCAGGAGAGTCACAGAGCAAACTCAGTTTGAAATGTGTCATCCTGAACTGGAGGGGATCATGTCTCCTTTTTTGTAAGGAGTCTGACTTGAACAAACTGGCACTTAAATGAGGTCCTACTTACAAAGGCATCCCCAAGAAACAGCTCCTACATAGCATTAGGATAAAGACTTTGGGTAAATGCAAATGCTGCAGTGCAAGAGGAAAAAATTCTGATTGTAGGGCCCATGTGCTCCCAATATCTGCTATACCTAATGGAGTATGGACACAAAATTGTTGGCATAGGTATGTGGATATGTAGAAATATCATATCTAAAAATTCTGAGAATAGGGTTAAGAAACCTGTGTATGTTTTCATAACACTAATGAATACAGTACTAGTTTTCTTCAGATATAGGGTTTCAGCATGTGCAAGGCTGAGTGCCTCTGCAGGAGCCCAAGGCACAGCTATTAAGTTCCTAGGCATTTGTCTTTTAATCCACATGAGAAGCATACAGCTTTCTGTTATATATATATGTGCTACATGTTATGGTATGTTGTGACAGATGGGAATATTGATGCTCTTTATGAATGCTGTTGATTTATGCAAGTGCATGATGTTTTAACTTGAAACTTTTTCATACATACTTGAAAAAAAGCAGCTTAACCTTTTTGGCAGGTAGTGTCACTGTCTTGGAAGGCAGTAAGGTTTGTTTGTATTTGAAGAGGGAAATTTGAACAGAATGAGGACTATTTCAGCTTCATTACTTCACTCATTGCTGGTGTATGCAATACATTTTTGCAATATGTCACAAACTTTCAATATTTTGCAAATTATTCACCTTATTTAGAGTAGCAGTTCTGCTGATTTATATTCTCATAATACTGTGTTTGAACTTCCTGTGGCTCTTGTGATGTTTGTAGGAGAGGCTGTGTACCAAAAGCTGTTGGTAGATTGTCTGCTGAAATTATCCCAGATGTGTAGTGAACACAAAAGCAAATCAAGTATAATGATCCTCTCTTACAAGTTTGCTGAAATCAATTTCACCCTAAATATAAAGACAGATTTGCAAATATAAGGCTGCTTTGACATTTCCTTATAAGTGTTTTTTCTTAAATATGTTTTTCACAGTGGCTTTGCCTCCAGAGAAGACAGATGGAGTTTGCAGTGGAGATGAAAAGAAAGCAGAAAAAGAAAGTGACACACGCACAAGTTCCAAGAAGCAACTGAAATTTGAAGTAAGTCCTCTGTATTTTAAAGTTTCACTGTACTGACATAATTATGGTAGAAAAATAACCTGTGGACCAAATAGTGTCATCTGATGCATGTTTATTGCTCCCAATGACTGTAATGGGTACAGGAGGCAGCAGAATTGACACGAGTCAATGTCATACTATTGGTGCCCCTTGCGAGGGCATTAGTGACATTTATTTCCAGGTTTGGAGAGAATCAAATTATGATCATTCCTCTGTAGGATCTGACATGTATAGTAAGAACAGGCTTTCAGTTTTATCTCTTATGCCAGCTACAATGTTAACAAATCTTTAGATTGACTTTCATGGACTTGGTTAAATTTGCCTAGTGTAAAAAACGCTTGTGAAAGTTTCTGTAACCATCAGTCTTCTGTGCTTGGGTCTCCAACATGAAATAACCCTGACCTGGTAGATGGGAAACCCAGCTGATCACATGGCAGGAGGAAAAGGAGGGCAATGAGTCTGATGGTCTACTTCCTTGTAGACTTATTACACATCATACAACTGCCAGACACTGGGTGGATTTCGTTTACGTAGGGAGCGATTTAATAAATCTGAGTATCGAAACTTGCTGTCATCCAGCTAGTGGGTTGTCTGTCTTGGATAGGAGGAAGATGCTCTGGTACCAGCAAGCAACAGCATGAATTTTCATCTCTCTGCACTCTAGCAGACGTGGCAAACTTCTGCCTTTCAGTGCTGTCAGCCTGTCACAGTAATGAGCTTTGCGTTTCCTCAATTGCTGTTTAAAAGACCATGCAGCATGGCTCGAGTGTTCATTTCCTTCTCTAGGGTAGACCAAGTAGTCTGGTACGATTTATTTTTAACTCTTTTAAGGCTGATTAAGAGGAGGTAGCTTTCCCATGGGCAGTTCAGGTGTTGCTAGGTGCTTGTTTGCCTTCTGGGGGGAGGTGACTTTTCCTGCCTTTTTTTTTTTTTTTTTTGCACAGTGATAACTCTTTTCCTAAGCACATTTTATGTTCTACCTTGAGTAGCAGACATTTGCAGACAGGAAAGGCATGATAAATTGCAATTAACAGTGCCTTGATATTTGAAGGTTGGAGGACACCTGTCAACATGGTTGGTGCCAGAGGAGCTGGAACTCCACTGTACCAGCAAAGTCTGCGTTTGTTCCCAAGTAGTTCTTGGCATGCCATAAAGGTTAGCACTTGGTACTAGGCACCGTGACTAATGCAGGGAAGGTTGCCATGGCTCTTAACTAAGCAGAGCACATCCTCACATAAAGACGTTATGTTAGGCAATGTGGGACAGGGAAGTAATAATATGTGGCAAGAAACCAAGTATTGATATTTTTTCACTTGTTCTGCAAATGAAAGTTTTCCAGCTATGTAAACTAGGAGCTAAGAGTTTGGTAAACCTTTCAAAGGTATAAAAGAAGCAGAAAGACAAGTGTTGCAACAAGAGGTCTAAAGCTGAGGTGGATGTGATTTGGCTTTTAAAGGTGCCGGGAATGTTTATGTAATACGAAACTGTGTTTCCACAGTGGAGTGTGGGGCACTTGGCAGCTCTCAGCCAGGCTTGTTACAACTGAGAGAAAACTGCCTTTGAACTCGGCAGGGGACGGGGGGTACCCCTAACTGCTGTAGGGAATTGGTTTCAAGTCAGAAGATCAACCAGGTATTTTGAGCTCTATCATGCTGAAGCTATTTGGAGCTGTTTATTTGACTTGCATACAGTGACTTTCATTTTAATTGCACTGTAACTTCTCTGTTTTGCCTTGTTGTGGCTCTGGATAATTCTGAGTGCACAGGTCTTGAGAGACAGCAAATGATTTGCACCCAGGTGACTGGAGTCAGTCAAAGTGCATCCTTTGTTCTCGACTGAAATCTTGGGTTTGGTTTGGGGATTTTTTTTTTCTCCCCTTAACAAATTGATTCTTCTAGGCTTTCCAGAGATCACACTCTCAGTAACAGAAGCACAGTTAAAACAAGGAGCAGGCACTGCTTCCAGGTCATTCTTCCTTGCCAGTTCCTAGGCAGGCTCCATTTCAGGGGCTCCAGTGGTGTGATGCTGTACTGCAGTCGCTGACAACCTTTGGCTATCAAATATCTGTGTCAAGGACAGGTCTCACTGGTGGGGATTTGTGTCCATGTGGTATTAATGCCTATTCCTGGCCCTGTGCTGTGCTGCCTCATTCTCTGAGTTTGCTTCTGATGTCTTCCTCTTCCTGACTTAAGCAGAGTTCTCCTTCTCACCTTTTAGTGGAGAGTCTTACTGTATTTCAAGAGCTTCAGGGAGTAAATTTTCTCATACCTTTTTCTGTTTTCTACATTGAAGTAGAAAGCATGTTGTGAATTCCCTGAAGTGTAGCCCAGAGAGTTAGGATTGTCGTGTGTTTGTGATGAGACCTCTCCATTGTGGTGGACAGAGGTCTCTCTGGGACATATCCCAAAAGCTTCCTCCCACAGGGGAGGGAGGAAGGAATAAAGCAAGCAGCCTCCTGCTAGGGAGAGTGTCCTCTGCAATCAGGCCTTTTGCTTTAGGTAATCAGCTGCTCTTTGCATGTTTCTTAGGAATTGCAATGTGATGTGTCAGTAGAGGAAGATAACAGGCAAGAATGGACCTTCACACTGTATGACTTTGATAACAACGGAAGAGTCACACGTGAGGTAAGCAAAGTACAGCTGCCCCTTTCTGTGCAGCGTTTGCTAACAAGAGAAGTGTTTTATAACAGGGACATTTTTTAATTCTATGAAGTAGAGGTGTCCTGCCAACTTAAACAGCAGTTTCCATGGACCCTTCCCTCCTAGAAACAATCCCACCAGTAGTTTACTGTTTTCAGATGTACTGTACCATTTTTTAAGCTGGTGGTTGTTTAATACCTGAGATTAGCCTTTAAAAAATAGTACTGGCCTTTGAGGAGGAAAGATATCTGAAACAACTGACCAGCTAAACACGTTGTCAAAATAAACCCCTGCAAATGTATATTGTTCTGGCTTCTCTCCTGCTTTTCAGAGTTAAGCTAACCAAATAGCAAGGTTGCTTGCTGACATTCTTTCCAGTAGTACTAACTATACTGTTCTATTGTTTTCATGAATATTCAGCTAATCTCTGCCTTTTCCCTCCAAGTATAAATAACATTGGTGATGTTTGCTGGAGGACCATAGCAAATGGCTGTCAAAGCATACCTGTGTATATTTTTACTATCAGGATGTCTTCAAGTCATATTTCCCATGCAAATCAGAAACCAAATACGAGGATGTATACATTAGAATATAGTCCTTTTTCCAAACTGTTTCTATCCAAATTGAATAATACTTCTTCTAGAAGAATGTGTTTCTTGAGGTTTTCTGCAGTGTGGTGTCATTGGTTTGTTTGGTTGGGCAGTGTGGTGTCATTGGTTTGTTTGGTGGTTGTTTTTTTTTTGTGAGGTGACTTTACTGGCTCCCATGCCTTCAGATATTCAGCTGGGTATCAACAGGTTGTTTTCTCTCTGAATTCTTCTGCTGGTATCTGTGACAGTTGCTGAAAACTGATTGAAAGAAATAGGCTGAATACTGAAACTGTTGTGGCCTTAGACACCAAATGATGGCAGAATTTTTTTCCTATGAGACTGAAGCAAATCTCTTTGGACATTTGTGAACAAACTGCCAAATGTGGTGGTTGTTCAGGGTTTTTAACGTGTATTTGAGCATCATGACTAGGATATTTATATTTTCTCTACTCTGACAGTGCTTTGCATAGTCTAGTGAAATCTGTGCCCCTCATGCAAGAGAAGGAGCAGATGAAAAGTTACAGGCCAAGTCCAGGGAGAGAAAGGACAAGGAGAAGGAGGACTGAGGTTAAGAAATAGTATTGTATTTGTTAATGTATGGGGAACAGAGACCAGAAAAATGAACTAACTTGCTCAAAGTCTTACAAGAACCTCACGGCTGATTGAACCCAGATCTTTTGAGATCCAAGGCTAAGTCTTCATTACAAGATTATCAAGACTCTCCAAAATAGGGGAGAAACACACAAAACCCAAACCCACACACATGGGTGTCTTTTACATTCAGGCATGGAATTCCCATTAATGTCAGTGGGAGTTCCATGTGCTGAACATAACGAGAATATGCTTTCAAGTATGTATACAATAATTATTTGTGATTATGTGGTACACCAAAGAGCTTAATTTGACTGTACTTAGAGAATATGTTACAGCCAAATTCTACCTCTCCCTGCTATAAGAGCAGACTGCAGCTTAACTGAAACCAAATCTGTGCAGGGATTGAAAATTATACTACTCTGAGGTCTGGAGTTTGCTACATTCAGGCTTGAACCTGTGCCAAAAAAAAATTCCTTTAACCAAGGGACCAAATAGGTTGATAATTTTCAGCTCTTTACATGTGACCAAAGATAGAAACAAATAGTATGCACCATTGCAGATCTTCCCATTTATGTTACCCACTTCTTTTGCAAACTCTTCTAGGGCCATTTGTATAATCCATCTTGTTGGTTGTCTTCTTTCAGATCCAAGTGCAATTTAAGAGGGTTTTTTTGCAAGAATGACTAACAATAGCTACTACTATTGTTAGTCACAAAATACTGGCCACAAAAGAGGAATTTTAGTCTCTTTCTATGACATAGAATTTGTTGTTCTATTGGCCCCTGAGAGACTGGTAGATACTGTCTGTCCTTTGCTACGCAGCTCTGCTCTTGTTCCAGCAAATGACTCAATGATGGAGAACATTAAACATTTGAATAGTTTCAGTTAAAATGAATGAGAAACATGTTTTGAGGCAATAGTATGTGAAGTACATTGCTGGTTCAGGGACAGAATGGGCAGTCTGAGCAAGAGGACCAATCTGTGCCTTTCGAGTGCCCTTTAGTGAGCTGATGAAAATGCTTTCAGAACCAGTCAGCTTTTCTTAACAAAGGTCTAGTGTTCTGGTGAGAAAAGCTTAGTATGGACCTCTTCCTCTTCTTGAAAAATTTCCTTTTAATATCTCCTGGATTTATAGCTGGATTTAACAGAGAGGTGAAATGTCTTAAGTCAGTTTTCTATCTGTGGACCTTGAGCTGCTTTATGAAAAGAAGTCAGCGTGATTCTTGTTTTTCATCATGTTGGCAAAGTGATACACTGGAAACGAAGTGGCTTGACCACCCACATCCATTTAATTTCATTCAAAGCCATTGTGTTCAAAACATTGGACTATTTAAAACATGTTTAATACATGTCCAGAGAGTTACCAAAGGAATCCACAGTGTTAAATTAAGTTTGTAAGAGACACATAGGTGGGGTGCAATTTTACAAGTGGACTGAACGTTTTTTTTTCATTAAAATGCTTGAAAAGTATAAATAAGATATGTATTTAGTTACTGAATAAAATTTCCCTTGGGCTTTACACAATGACAGATCACCACAAGAGCATTCAAATTCCATCTTAGTGAAATTTCTTTCTGGATCTTAACATCTTCAGAACTTAATGCTGCTTTGATTTCCTCCTAGAGTCTGTATGACTTACTCTGTAGTCCTTATAATTAGAAATTCAGATCTAGTCATGCTTCTTGAAGAGATACACCCATTATGAAAGCATAATTATTGGGATGGCAAATTATAAATTAGCATTACTGTATGTTATTAAACTGCTGCTTTTTCTGTCTTAGAAGAAGACCATTTTCAGCCCTTTTTGGTTTAGTGGGAGATAACTTTTCCTGCTCTAATATGTATATTGCAAAACTTGGCTAATAATGTTTCCCTTCATTCCATAAGCCATAAGAGGACAATTCATTATGTACATCAGGCCTTTTTAGAACTGACAGCTGCACTGTAATTATCTTCACACGAATATTTGTAATCGGACTTGAAACTTGGATAATTGAACTAATGTGTTTTGATCCATGAGGTTTTATATTGAGCTCTCTGAATGTAATTATACTTCATAAACACTAGCTTTTTTTTTTTTTTTTTCAATCAGTTCTTCCTTGGAAAATTGAGTTTCTTTGGTGAGCGGCTGCACAGGAATAAGCACACAAGAAAGTTGCTTGTCAGAAGTAAAAAAAGAATTTCTTGCAGAGTAGTTTCTGAGGAGATAGCAAGTGAAGCTCCTTTCAGGTCCCAAATAAGAACGATTCAAAAGCTTATGTGATCAAACAAAGCTGATGTTGCAATAAAAACATCCTGCTGTATGTAAAAATCAGACTACAAACAAAGTACAAATGAGACATTTGTATTTATCTTTTTCCATGGGAAAGGTAATGAACTGATATTGATGTTTCTCTTCATGCATTTTTAATGCTAGAGATATTCTTTGTATCTTAAATACCAGTTTTTTCTGTTATGTTTCCTTTGGTTTTTTTCCTTTCCCTTTTTAGTTTTGGTTTTTTGCTCATATCCTCTGATGAATGAAAAGGTTTGAGGTTATATCTGTGTTCAGAACTCAGCATCAAATCATGGACTTGGGGAAGGATATTGGCTCTATTAGCTCTATAGGCTACTATTGATCAGCCTGACCCTTACCTTGAAATTTGTTTGTTTTCCCTGTGTTTGTCAACATTGCATTAAGTCACGATATAGAAGGAACAATGGAACCAATGGATGGAGGAGCAGAGCCTGTCTGTGTCAGAATGGCCCTCACTGCAGCCACTAGATTTGGTGGATTTGTGTCAGATAGAAATAATAAGAGAAAATATTACTTTCTCTCTTGGTTTTAAGTAGAGTCAGTCTTCTCTCCCAGACAAGTTAAAAGGGTCAAACTGAATGTTTTCTTTCAGTGTTATTAAACTCATTGGGGTTTTTGGAGTGTTTAGTGTTTGGGGTTTTTTGGAGGAGGGAAGGAGTGTGTGGTTTGGGGCTTTTTTAGGTTGGGTTGGGGGTTTTTTGGTGCAAATATTTCATTCTATCAAATTAATTCTACTGGAAATGCCTATTAGTTTCTTGTAGAGAATCTCTAATTTGCTAAGTAGTCCTATGATGATAAGCTATGCTGATAAGGGAAAAATATGGTCATCCCTGTACCACTAATACTCCTTAGAGATAAATATTAATACCTGGAATAGGGACTTCCTTGGCCACATGAGTTCTGTAAGGAACGAGGAATACTTCAATGCTCTTGCTCTTTTTTCAGACCCATTGGTTTCTCTGAATGTTCTAAATTACTGCTCATGTCCTACTGGAGGTCTGTAAAGTGTTCTGTGGAACTTGTGTGAGTGCAGCACACATGTATGGCCTTAGCTGTTAATTTTTAATGTTTCTAATGGAAATACTTCTGGCAATCTCTTAAAGTTGCTTTTTTAAATATGTTTTTATGTATTAGTTGCTTGATAAAATGAGATGGGAGAAATATACAGATTAACACTGTTAAACACTTCACCCTGGAAAACCCAACTGTGGTGTTCATTAAGCAAAACACAAATCTGGGTATGGCATGTGCTGGCTGTTGGGATACTACCCAGCAAGCATTTGCTTTCCACTTTGTGGACAAATATCATAGTTTCAGTTGTCTTACATGATTAAACTAGCTATCCCAGAAGAAATTCTGCACACCAGAAGCCCTTCAGAAGTTAGAGTCATGCAGCATAGTTCCTCTCTAAATACAATCCATTTGGTTAAAAGGAGAGAAGTTTGTTTGTTTGTTAAGTCTTGTTTTGCTTTACCCATTTAATATATTGTGGTTAAAAGGAGAGAAGTTTGTTTGTTAAGTCTTGTTTCGCTTTACCCATTTAATATATTAGTTTAAAAATCCACAATTATTTTTCACTAAATATAATTTGAAAGTACATTTCAGTTAAAAAAAACATTCATTTTGTCTTTAGAAAAAGTGGGAAAGACTGAAAAATCTGTCACAATTATTTTTCACTAAATATAATTTAAAAGTGCATTTCAGTTAAAAAAAACGTTCATTTTATCTTTCGAAAAAGTGGGAAACACTGAAAAATCTGCTGTTTATTTTTTATGGAAAAAGTGAGGAGGTTTGACAAATGTGGGATAAAACTTTCTGTATGGGAGTGTCTTAAGCAAAGCAGTTGTAAAATCACATGGCTAGTAAAACTCATAATCTATCATGCAGAAAAGTTAGATTGTTTGGTAGGTCTGGGTCATGCTGGTTGGTGTATCAGAAGAGAGAAAAATGTAACTAGCTTTTATTCTTGATTTTTAATGCTGAATTTCTTGAGGACAGTGAAATGCAGAAGCTGGTTGGTAGAAGGTAGAGGTTGCTCAATGGATTTAGACAGTTCTTCAAGGAATTTAGATGCAGATAACATGCACTGGAACAACTTTCTTGGGGAACATAAATTGCCTCAGTCTCCTGGCAGGCTACGGGAAGATAAAAATATTCTTGGGGGTAAATATAGTCAGAGCTATAAAATATGGGTTTTTCTTATATATATAAATATAGTCAGAGCTATAAAATATGGGGTTTTCTTATATAGATATATTAATGGTCTAGTGCTACTAATTTGACAAGAAGCCATTACCATATTAGCTGCCAAAACAAGGCTGTGAGCAGGTAGTTTTAGTCACAGTTCAAATCTCATTGACGAAGACCATTCCCAATAGATCATTGCCTCAGGAATTTGTATGTTATAATTGGGAAGGAATATGAGGTTCAAACTTCCTTATACCTGCTCAGCCAAGGCCTTGGCAGGTGACACAGGGTTGGGAATGACCCAAGCAGCATTGTTTGTCCAAATCAGAACTGTTAGCTTGCTGAAATTCCCAACCCCAAATTAGGACCACAAGTAAATGAATCCTGTAATAAAAATGTTGTTGTTGGTATTTAAAAGATCAGCATAAGCATTAAGTGGTTACTTATGGATATCCCTAACCTCGAGCTTGGTACATATCCAGTCTGAGCACCACGTTCCTTCAGTGCCAGAATGCAGAGCAGTTCAGATCATCGTGGAGTGTTAGATGTGTAACGACATGCAAAGGCAGCAGCACATAAGGCTGCAAGGTGTACTGATCCCTCTGTGCAGTCTCCTCAATAGCCTGGACAGTAATTTGGGTTAACTTGGGCCTGTTTGGCTGAGAGATGTAAATTGTGCCGGTGTGATATGTGTGTGCACATATTTCTGACTTGCCAAGTATGTGTCACACAAATGCCATGTCTGGCCTTCCCTGACAGCCTTTGGGAGGACTTTTTAAACTGCTGAGTCAAGGAGCTTGTTGAGAAAGACCCTCACAGAACACAAGGGACAGATTGTAAGTCAGTTGTTAGCAAGTTAGATCTCATCTCTGGAAAAAAAAAAGTCATGTAAAAGGACAGTAGGGGATTTTTTTTGGTCTTTTCCTATTGAAGTTAAAATAGACTAGATATACAAACATCTGGCTTGTACAAACATCTGGTATAGCTGAAAAATAGGAAGGAGGACAGATTATTGTGAATGAAAGAGTTGATAATAACCTCTTGATAGCAGCCTTGTGTGGAAAGATGACATGTTGGCTAACCAACACTTGTTAAGGAATGTATGGGAAAAGCTCCATTCACCCATGTGCTGAGTGTATGAAGCTCTGTCAAGAATAAATATAGTGCTTAAGTATTCTGCTGAAGGAGAAGGTTTGGCTTATCAAAGTGTAGGATTATAGCACAATGCTCCTAGAACATGACCTATGGAGAGTGTATAAAACAACAGATGTGGTTTGTTTGTTTATGTTCTTGCTCGCTTGGGTTTTTCCTCGCAGATGAAATAAAAATCCAGCCCTTCAAGCTGCATGTTGTGTATGGCTGTGTCTATTTAGAGGTCTGGCTAGGTTTCAAATTAGGATGGAAGTGTGAGAGCGAGATGTGTTAAAGAGCTGTGAGGTGCCCACCAGATTGTCAGGGAGCAGCCTTCCCCTCTTTCAAGCTTTAGATGATGATTCTTGTCAAGAGCATGGAAAGCAGCTACTGACTGGTGGTAGCAGCCCATAGAGAGAAACTCTTGCAACAGTGGTAGAAAAAACATCAGTGGAGAAGTAATTGAGAGACTGCAAATTCTGCTCTCTTTTTATGAATATAAAGAAATATATAAGAAATATGAATATTTCTTGAACTAACAAGTCTGGAGAAATTCCACTGAGTACAGAAAAGTTAGTGTAGATGTTAAGACAAAGTCTGGACCCTCTAAGATTTAGTTATTCATTCTGCCTATTGAACTGGAAAATTATCTACTGTAAAATCATTTGTCCTGGATAGTGGTTCCCTAACTTCTGTGTGAGTAGAAATGAGTATTTCTGTGTCACCTTTAAAGCTGGGTACATAAAGGGGACTGTGTGGTATATGGACTACTAAAATTTTGGGACCCATTAGAGCACACTAAACTTTGAGCTGCCGTTGTTACAGGTGTGACCCCTGGGCAAAGGAAAAGTTGTAGAGGTTTGCAGTTTTTATAAACCTGACTCTTAATCCTCAGAACCAGTTATACTTAACAAAAGATGATTTAGCTATTTCCTTTGTGCTCACAGGCATCTGGAAAGAGCTTAGGTACTAGGATAGATCAAGGAATAGGAAGACCAGCATGGAGAAATTCTCAGATATGCATTGAATGGACTCTTTATAGCCTACAATGATCAGAATGCTTTGGCCTTAGGTTGGTGCCCAAGATCAATTTGGGTAAAATCCCTTTGAGGAAAAGCAGTGAGCTAAGAGATCTTCTTTTCATCCTGGCAATTTATGGTAGTACCCTATTTGAGCCTGGCTGGATTAGATCAACCTGAGAGTCCTTTGAGCATTACCAGCTACTAAACAGTGTTTCTCCTGTTTGGAACAATTGGCTTGTTAAAATTGGCTGGTGTTCTTTCTGATAGAGCCAGACATGTAAGGGTTTGTTCACATCCCATTGCCTTCAAAGAGATCTGTGAAGAATGTGCTGTAATAGGCCTGACTGGATAATATTTGCAGTTCAAAAATGTGAGTTTAGAGCTGGTTTGAATTTTGCAAAATAAGCTATACCCCAAAACACATATAGTGGGGTCACATTCAGACATCATTTATTTCCAAACCTGAGGTTTACAGTTCTGCCACTTCTCTTACTGGTTTTCCTCTGGATAATCAACCATTTAAGTTTCAAAAAAGAAAACCAACAAAGCAACAAGAAATAGAAGGACTGAGATGTCCAAGATTTTCTTCAATTGCTGTATTTGTTTTGGTCATGTGAACTCAGTTTTTAGTGCAAGATGAATGGTTATCCCTGGATTCTGCTGAAATCAAAGAAAAGAAAAGGCAGAACACCATTTTGCTGATTCACTGTTTGGGAAATCTGAATATCTTGTGCTGTTGTTATTGTTTTGATCTGGTTTGCCTCAATTCATAGATCCATTTGATGAAGATTGTAAGCTTCTGGGCAATTTGAACTCTTTTAAATTCAATGACTTCTGAGGACAGTGCTGACTTCTCAGCAATTAATAGTCCTGAATCCAAAATAGTTGTAAGCATCAAAGTGAAGTATCAAATAGTGTGCAATAGTTAAGTATCAAAGCTGTAGGTTTCATGCCATTTTCACAGTGCTTTGTCTTTTTGTGTTTCAATCCAACTGTAGGATATTACCAGCTTGCTTCATACCATCTATGAGGTAGTTGATGCATCAGTAAACCATTCTCCTAGTTCCAGCAAAACTCTGCGAGTGAAACTTACTGTGGCACCAGATGGCAGCCAGAAGAAAAAGAGTATCTTGTTAAATCACACTGGTAAGGATGTGCCATCAGCCATTGGAAAAAATACAACAAACCTCAAGAATCCCTTGATTTGTTTGTGTGGAAGCAGGTGTAGTTGTATAAAATGTTTTTAACAGGTGTAGAGCTATCACTGCTGCTGGGTGAAACTAAACAATTAAGCATAAGTAACCTTTTTTATGAATCCATGCATAAAAATTGCACTTCTTTGTGTGCTGGCAGAGTGTGCTGTTATAAAAGATGCTTAGACCCTGATGGTTTATTCAGCTTATATTCACTCTAATAATAGTTGTACCTGCATAATTACTGCAGTAGGTAAATTAGTACTAAATTGAAATGCTTTAAAGTAGTACTTCAGTAGAAAATGTGAGCAAATTATCTAAAAGGAATGTGCTGCCCAGAGAGGTGGTGGATTCACAGTCCCTACAGGTTTTGAAGCTGAGACTGGTTGTGGCACTTAGTGTCATGGTCTAGTAACCACAGTAGGGTTGGACTCAATGATCTTTGAGGTCTTTTCCAACCTGATTGATTCTCTAATTCTGTGATTCTATCCATTCAGTCAAGTGCAGACTTAAGCAAATTTGCATTGCTGGGCAACTATGTGACATGTTAGTCCAGCTTTGAGTTGCAAACTGCTGAGCTGTCCTGATGGACAAGCATAGCAGTGTGAATGTGGCTCCCTTTGGGCTGCCACATGGTGTGCAGCCTAACCCTAACCCATGTCCTGCAGCCAAGGTTATATCAACGACTTGATAATCTTAAGGATCTCTCCCAACATTGATGATGATTCTATAATCTGCCTGAAATCTGCCATGTGGACAAAAGCATGTTTGAGAAGGTTACATGAAATGGTGCATCACATCTTGATCTACTGACAGGAAAAAATGTGTTTGCAATGTAGCATGTTAGTTATGCTGATCAGCAAGGATAGTAATGTGAGAGTAATGTACTTTCTCTTGGCAGATTTGCAGGGTACCAGACATAGAGCTGAAAACAAAGCTAGTGAAGAAGCAAGAGGCTCTGAGAAGAAGCAGAGGGCCTCTCTCAGGTAAGGGGAAAGAACCTGACTCCTGACAGCACTGGGTACCTCTGAGAAAACCTCAACCACTGATTTCTTCACTGCTTGTTTTATTTGGAAAAATTGTGTTAAAATAGAGGAATTACAGGAGTTTTCATTGTGGAATCATGAGCAGATCCTATGAGTAGATACTTTGTATATTAAAACAAAACAAATCAACCAAACAGTACTCACATTTTCTTCTGTTAGCTCTTTGGAGGACATGCAGTGCTTTTTTAGATGCCATCTGCAAATAAGTGATGTTTATAGCACAGTCATTTGGCTAAACGTGTCCTAAAATCTCTTCATCTTCCTAGCCAGATCCTGCCTTTCTCTGTCCTCCTTCCAGCCCATCTTTTTCACTTGTCAGCTCAGTTAGCTCCAGGCTTTATCAGGTCTATCTTGGTTACCAAATCATAACCAGGCCAGAGTGTTAACAGGTCATCTTGGTGTATAGGTTTGATAGGTCTTAGGATTTTATGTTTCATGCTAAGGCAGAGGGAAGTGGTTGCTGAAATGTTACAGTAATGACATCGACTCAATAGTTGCATTTGTTTCTTCAGCTGCAAATTTTAAAAAAAACCCCACCAAACCAAAAAAAAAAGCTTTTGGCTTTCCTTGGATTTAGGGATATTTGTCTGAATACATAACAAATTTATCAGGAGAAAGAGCATTCAGTCTTATTAAAAATGACAAGAGAACAGTACCTCCCATTTTTGGATAGAGTAAAAATGATAGTGAGTTATCCCAGTGAGCAAATCCCAGTACAATCAAATTTCAGATTAAAAGGATAAAATTACTATTAATCTTCTGTTAACAGCTCTGTACAAAATCTTCTGTGAACTGAAGAGTACTCTGTGATTTTACTTGTTGGCCTAGATGTGGTATTCAGATCCTCTCTGCCCATTAGCAAACTTTTGCCCTGTGTGAATTCAATAGGCTGTTTTTGTTTGATAATCTAGTGCAAAAATCCCCTTTCAGTTTGAAGTCCCCTCTAATCCAGTCCTGGTTCTGCACATATATAGTGTTTTTATGAACAGCAGGCACTTCCAATTAAATCCACAGTCACTGAAGCATCAAATGTTGGGGCAAAATGTTTGTCCTTCTTATCCCTTTGGTTAGAGACTTTGTAGACAGAACAAATCTGTATCTTGGACTGAGCAGATGAGCATCAGACAACTGTCAGCATCTGATAGTTTTTGTTGCATCCCATTAAACGTGGACAAGCTGAAGAATGTGCAGGGATGTTTGTGCACTCTGGCCAAGTTGATAACCCTCAGGAATGCTGCTCAGGCTCCTAGCAGAGTCTCACAATATTAATGCAGAGGCTTCCCCTTTGAAAGCAGCAATGAGGACTTGTGAGAAGTGCACGTTTCACAAATTCAGTCACTTAGGAATTCTAGGCAAGATGGGATTAATATTCAAGATAAAATGGATAGAAATGTTTTTATCTTGAAGGTGGGAGATAGATGGGTTAGATTTTTCATCTGCTGGAAGATACAGGCAGGAGTTTTCACCTGTAGGGCAACTACAAGTATCAAGATAAGGAGCTAGATTCATGGCTAGGTACCCTGGTTCTCCCTGTCTGGCTTGAATTCTATGTTCTCGGTGAGCAAGGCTTTCAGGAAATGCCCCTGCATATTTCTGCCCTGGGCTCTGTCACTGCTCTATTCCCCTTTCCTGCTATATGGCTGTGTGCTTATTACCATCAGAATGACACTTCAGCGTGGGAATTTTGGAAGGAGCTTTCATACACTCCACAAACTCTTAAGCAGATGCCTTTTTTTATTAAAATCAAAACCAAACCAACCCAAACCCCAGTAACAACCCTGTGTGTTTTTACACAGTCCTTGGTACATGGTTGGTGCATGGCTGGGCCTTCCCACGTGCATGCAGGAGATGTTCTGGGGCTGGATGCCAGATGCCTCAGTTCTCAGAAGTGCTTGAAGTTCTCCCTGACAGTGGAGCCCATCTCTCATCAGTGTATAATTGCTTCACTCTGTATATTTGCATGAATATTGTTGAACGTCATCTTGCATGTAAGAAAGCTATTAGCATGTAGGGCTGTGGCAGTACTGGCATAGTTTCTTCTTAACTGTCTTGATGAGAGATTGAATTTATTACAGTAACAAAAAAAAAAAAAGCAGGTTCCCTGTTAACTTCGTTTCCAACAGACAGTGCTATATACAGCATTGCTTTATTGTGTTGGCTCACGACCAATGATGTTTTTTCTGGATTAACTATGAGTTGTCTTCAGCACATATGTGCAAGTCCCAGTGGTTTCCATAGGTGATTCACACCTGGCAACTTCAGTTAGGCAGGTTCTAGCCCTAGAGATCTTTTATGTTGACCTGCTAAAGTGTAACAACATGTAAAGGTGTGTCTGAGACAGGAAAGGTTCTGAGTAGGCTGTGTATCCAAAAAATAAAGAATATCTGGACATTCCCTCTTTTTTTGACAGTACCCTATGTCACTTCTGGAGTTCAAAGCTGACTCAGAGTCTTTAAAGCTTACCTGCTTTCCAGGCAGACTCTCCTCCATTCAGGAGACTCTACCTCTATCAAAGTAGAGCAAAAAATGATCTTCCAGGTAGGTCAAGTCTTGTGACTTTTATCAAAGAAACTATAGACCTGTGTCTGACAGAGACATGGAGGGACTCAGTTCTGTAATGTCCCTGAACAGTACTATGCTAGACCAGGAAAGCAGTTTGTGCCAAAGCTCGATGGGATCAGCAGCCTCTGGAAACCTGGAAATGTGTTAATAGACTAAAAGCAGAGTACTGAGCTCCATCCCATACAGAGCCCATGTTTAGCAACTGGTGTAGGATACAAGGCCAATTCTGGTCTTAGGTTGACATCAGTGCAATTGCACAGAGAAAGCAAAGCCAATCTTGTGGTCTTGAACACTGAACTATTTGAATGACAAACAGCAACTTAATCAAGAGTTTCTGCTTATCCTGTTATATTGAAAATATTGTTCATACTTGCAGACATCCATTTAAATTGCTGAATTAAATTGTTTGGCATTATAGGCTACAATACTGTAAACCTCTGCCTGATATTTTTTCTGCCTCATAAATGAATGGTATTTCAGATATTCATTCTCAGGAAATAGTTCTGCTATAAATAAAATTGCAAAGCTGAGCAGGAAAAGGAGTAGAGATTCTAAAGCCAACGTCTGGTCTGACCTCCTTAATCATATTTTGTAAAGCAGTGGTTACCTCTGGGTGTCCTACCAACACCTTATCTTCTCAGACCCTCTGTAGTTGCTACACCTGTGCTGTTGCTTGTCTTTCTGAGGCACATTAGTGTTTATCTAACATGAGGCTTACCCCAGTGCTTCCTGACAGTGCTGGGAGCAGTCGTGAATCAAACAGCAGATTTTCTTTGGCGTGTCCAAATTGGAGAATCAGTTGAATGGCTTGGCCCTAAGACAGAATGTCATAAACCCTAGGAGCATTTTTGTTTGTTTTTGCATGCGTGATGCAATTTGAAAGCCTCCTTTGCTTTGCAACATCAGGGTTGATTTATGTGAGGGGAAGGAACAGTCAGTTCAGGCCTATCGACTTAGCAAATCCGGTCATCCAAAATTTCAAGCGTTTGTTGTTTTTTATTTTGTGAGCAACTCCTGTCACTTCAAAGGGTCCATTAGTTGTTGGTTTGCAGATGGTGATAACAACTTTAAAGAAGTTCTGCTGAATTGTAATTTTGCTTCCTGCTAACAGATACCACCAGAGTGAGAACAATCCAGAGCAAAGTGGGTGCTATCGTCATTGTGTTGATGAGAACATTGAAAGGAGAAACCACTATTTGGATCTTGCAGGAATAGAAAACTACACATCAAAGTTTGGTCCAGGTAATGTATGTTGCAACTTCAGCATCTTTTCTTTTTTTCAGTTGCATGTTCCATATCAGGGGGCAGTGAATTGTGAGCCTGTGTGATTTGTCTGTAGTGACTAACTGGAAGGAATAGGTCTGTGAGTACTGCAAGATGATTACTGGTGAAGGTGGTATCACAACAGAGTGGCTAATGTGCTGCAAGACTGCTTTGATGTACTTGTTTGTGTAGCTAAACTTGGAGGTAAGCCTAGGAGAACAATCTCTCCATCTGAATTATTGAGTTTAGTCTATGGGTGAGGCAAGGACTGACTTTTGGATGTTGGAGCTTCTTCCTAAGATGATACTAGCACATGTTTTGTGCTCACTACTGACCCCAAAATAGGAGAATGTGGGTTCATCCCTGGAATTTTGGCTTCTGTCCCCAAGTTAAAGGGGCTTGGATTTCCATCCTTTCCCTGCCCTCTGCCAAGATTTTACTATTCCACTCACAGTTACTGTGATGACCAAGAGAAGGTAATGTAAAGACTTTTATATACACAGACACACACATGCACATATATTCTCTCCTCTATAGATAGGTACGTGTATTTGTGTGTGTATTATTTACTAGTCTGAATTATTAAGTGTAATTAAAGTAGACAGCTATAATTGCATTCACTTCCTTAGGAAAAATTTATTCTGATGATAATGCTATCCCTGCCAACTGCATGCTACTAATTAAAACTTTGAAATACTAGATGACTAACTCAGCTTGTTATTTCCTAGGATCTCCTCCAGCAGCTCAAAAACATGACCCACCAGGCAGAATTGTGAATCAGACTAGATCCCGCTCTCATGAGCCTGAAACCTTCCATGCTCACCATAGGAAATCTCAAGTGGTGGATCCAAGCCACATCAATCTGGCTGAAAGTTCATATGCCAAGATTACAGAAATCCAACAGAGGCTCCGGAACCAGGACTCAAGCAAGCACTTTGTGAGGTCTCCTAAGGCCCAGGGCAAAAACATTGCCCCTGTGCATCCTGGAAGGGCAGTTAGAAACAAACCTTTTCAAGGGATGCCCATACCAATGGCTTCCCCAAGTGCACGGGTGGGCCAGAATCTTCCTTACCTCCCCTTGCAATCTCAACAGGTTCACAAGAAGCATAAGCAGAGGGCAAAGGAGAATCACCAAATGTGCAAAACCTTCCAGTCTCCGGGGACAGTTGTGGAAAAGGAACATGTGAGAGACCTGCCCACAGTCATTTTATATGAAGGCCAGGTTGGACAAATGATACAAAGACATGAACACCACCACCACCACGAGCACCACCACCACTACCACCACTTCTACCAGACATAGAAGAGATCCCACCACCATCCTCCAAGAATCATCCCATATGAAGGAAATGCATTCTTGTGATACCAGAACTAAGGCATTACTATGATTAATATTATTATTACTCCATTAATATTCAGCTAGCATATATTTTAGAGGTTATATGGAACTTTTGAAACTTACCCTATTTATATGTTGTGGAACCGCATAGCTTACTTAAACACCTTGTGGAGTTGTTGTTTTGGTTGGATTTTTTTTTTTGTAAGTGGCTTGTAAAACAGCAAACAGCCATAGCTTTTTGAGCTGTGATTTAATACAGGTCGTCAAACGCACTTCTTTACAAGTACTACTTCCAGTGTAGTAGAAAAGATACTTCAAACACTATTGCAGACATCTAGCTTACCACTCTGCTGTATGTCGGCTGATCGCACACAAGCCTTTTATCAGGGGAGCAATGTTCCAGTGGTTGGACTCCAGAGATACTCAGAATAATGGAAAATACAAACAGCTGCTACCTCTAGTATTATTCAGATTTTATTTTCTTTTTATTGATTGTAATGTGCTACAGGGGGGAAATTTAATATACTGCGTTCATGTAGCCTGTTTGTGTTCACATCCTTTCAAATTCTCTTAATTACAAGGAACTTATTAGCTAAACTTGTCAGCAGGGCTACATTTGTACAATTCACACTTTATTTTCTTGGAGATTCTTCATTGACACAAGTACAGTCTGCTATTTACTGGGTAATATTTAAATACACTTCTTTTATTTTTGTTTTTTTTTCTCTTACTTACTCTCCACTCTGTTTGGGGTAACCATTTGAAAATAGGAGGATGTGAAATGGGGTTTTCCAAAGCATCACTAGACTTTAGTGCTTGGGCCATAAGTATCATTCATGGGGGTTTGAGAAGGACAGGGGTTGGTTGGGGGGTTTGTTTTGTTTAAATCCACAGTTCTTTGTTTTGAGAAAGAATTGAGGAAAATATACTTTCTCACTTTAAATGTTGGCAAATATATATAAA